AGAAAGCATCTTCAACAAATGGTGCTGGCATAACTGGATGCTGGAATGTTTGCAGATAGATCCAAGCCTATCACCATGCACAAAACTTAAGTTCAAGCCGGGCGTTGGTGGCACACGCCTTTAATCCCAGCACTCGGGAGGCAGAGGCTAGGTGGATCTCTATGAGTTCGAGACCAGCCTGGTCTACAAGAGCTAGCTCCAGGACAGCCTCCAAACCACACAGAAACCCTGTGTCGAAAAAACCAACCAACCAACCAAACAAACAAACACAAAAACTCAAGTCCAAATGGATCAAAGACCCCAACATAAATCCAGCCACACTGAACTTATTAGAAGAGAAAGTGAACGAATTGGTACAGGAGCTAGCTAGCTTCCTGAACATTACACCTGTAGTGCAGACACTGAGATCAACAATTCCTAAATGGGACCTCCTGAAACTGAGAAGCTTCTGTAAGGCAAAGGACATAGTCAGTAAGACAGAACGACAGCCCACAGAATGAGAAAAGATCTTCACCAACCCCACATCTGACAGAGGGCTGATTCCCGAAATATACAATGAACTCGAGAAGCTAGACACCAAAAACCAAACAATCCAATTAAAAAGTGGGGTACAGAACTAGAGAATTCTCAATAGAGGAATCTAAAAAGTCTGATAGACACTTAAGAAAGTGCTCAACATCCTTAGCCATCAGGGAAATGCAATTCAAAACAACTCTGAGATAACATCTTATAGCAGCCAGAATGGCTAAAATCAAAGACACCAATGACAGTTTATGCTAGAGAGGATATGGAGAAAGGGGACCACTCCTCCATTGCTGGTGGGAGTGCCAACTTGTAAGACCACTTTGGAAATCAGTATGGCGGTTTCTCAGGAAAATGGCAATCAGTCTACCTCAAGATCCAGCAATTCCACTCTTAAGCATATACCCAAAGAATGCACGTTCACACAACAAGGTCATCTGTTCAACCATGTTCATAGCAGCATTATTTGTAATAGCCAGAAACTGGAAGCAACCTAGATGCCCCTCAACCGAAGAATGGATGGAAAAATGTGGTACATTTACACAATGAAGTTTTACTTAGTGGGAAAAAAATGGAATCTTGAAATTCCCAGGTAAATGGATGGAATTGGAAGAAAACATCCCGAGTGAGGTAACCCAGTCACAGAAAGACAAGACATATGTACTCACTCATATGTGGATATTAGACATAGAGCAAAGGATTACCAGCCTACAATCCACACTGCCAGAGAAGCTAGGAAATAAGGAGGACTCCAAGAGAAAAACACATGTTCCTCCGAAGAAGGGGAAAGGGACAAGAACCCCTGAGCAAATTGGGAGCACGGGGAGGGGGGAGGTAGGAAAGAGAGAAGGGAGAACAGGAGGGGGAAGGAAAACAAGAGGGATCAGGAAGACTGAGACAGGGGAGGAATAGAGGAGGGCAAGAAAGGAGATGCCTTGATAGAGGGAGACAGTACAAGTTTGGAGAGAGGTCTGGAACAGGGTAAGTTTTAGGGGATCCACAGGGATGACCCCAACTAAGAATCTAGGCAGTGGTGGAGAGGCTGCCTTTGATGCCCTTCCCCTATAAGGAGACTGATGACTACCTTGGTTCCCATTCCTAGAGCCTTCATCCAGTAGCTGATTGAAGAAGAAGCAGGCACCACGGCTAAACACTGAGCCATACTCCCAGAATCTAGTTGTAGAGAGGGAGGAGGGATGAACAAAGGAGCCAAGTCCGAGCTGGAGAAAATTACAGAACCAGTTGACCTGACCTAGTGAGAGCACAGAGACCCTAGTCGTAAAGCTGGGGAACCAGCGTTGGAGAGAACCAAGCCCTCTGAAGGTGGCCTGGGCAGTCTATGGGATGACTAACAGTGGAGCCAGTGTTTATCCCTAGAGCGCAAATGGACTTTGGGAGTCCACTCCCTATGGAGGGATACTATTGCAGCCCAGATACACGGGAGAGGGCCTGGGCCCTCCCCCAGATGAAGTGAAGGACTTTGATGGTCCCTCATGGAGGGTCTCACCATCCCTGGAGAGTGTGTGTGGGGTGAGTTGGGGGGTCGGTGGAGGGCATGGGAGGACGGGAGGGTGAGAGAATGGGGGTATTGATATGTTAAATAAGATTGTTTCTAAAATAAAATATAAAAAATAGAGAGCCCTTCCCTTCAATGACTCTCCACTTCCCTCCATGGGCCAGCAGCTCCCCACCCCTCCCCCCCATCCCCCATCCCCTCC